AACCCCCCCCCCCCACGCCGCAAAGCGATTTCATAGTATGACTGCAAACTATGCTTAGCGCATACAGACGGCACACATAGTACCTCTGTGAAGGGTCGAGTGTATGCTGCAGCAGTTCGACCAGTTCTGCTATAAGGCGCAGAAACTTAGCCATTAAGAAAACAGGATAAAAATAGACTGTCGGTGTTTGAACACCGCTGTCCACGCAGCATTGCACGAATCTAGTGGGGCAGCCGCACGAGCAATGCTGAGGTTAGGTGCAGAGCTTTGGACAATGGCGGTTGCCCACTAGAGCAAGTGGTCGACCTCCATAGATTACGTTGGTTGGGGCATGTGTTACGCATGTCACCAGATAGGTTGTCACGGCGAACAATGTTCGCCGATGCAGGTAGTGGGTGGAAAAAGCCAAGATAAGACCTGGCACGAGGGTATCAAATCCCTAACCAGGAGACTGGCTCACATAGGTCCCTTTAGGTACCCTGGCTGGGGACCTCGGGATGATCGTAACCGATGGTTAAGAGACACTGGGTGGTATTATAACGAGAAGGCGAGTCGGCTGGCAAAACGTTTATTGATCCAATTCAAAAACGACCGATGTCTACCTTCAATTATATACAATCAATTCTTAACCACGCGGCAGGATGATTCATGCCTCACTCTGTTGGTCAATCCGTGTCAGTTTTGGTCCGCACTTGGCACGTACGTTGCTCTTCTTCCGCGTGCCGTTCCGACTGGTTTAATCCGATCGTAGTGTGAGATAAATTGATCGACAGCTCCGACGTTGTGGTATTCGGTGAATATCTTTCTGGTTAGATGCGGATTGTCCGTCGGGCTGTAATTGTTGGTTCGTCGTTTCGAGTGGTAGTCGACATTGTCTCGCGAAGTACTTCCAGCCGCTACGTCTGCGCATCTGGTTGGATGGGCCCCATTCTTGATTCGTTGGCCAGCCGGGGCTCCCTTTGTACCACATTCTATCACAATATGACTGTGTTGTAAATAGTGGCTCTCGCACATCTCAATTTCTTTGCAACTTTAGGCCACTGAAGTTCTCCATTTTCTGTTGGACTCTACTTTCAATCTTCCGATCTTTCGCTTATTCTTCATCCAATCGGGTAGCCAAAAGACAGCAACCAAAACCGCCACATGAAGGTGCATGGTTAATAGTTGTACAAACTAAAACTGAAACCTTTCAAATGAGCGACGGACAGAATCGGGCTTACTTGAGAGTAAATAAGTTCGATTGATTTTCTGATTTTATTTTCGATAATGCTTTGGGTGTCTGATTCGTGTTTACTATCGTATTACAGATACAAGCATTCGATGCTGCGATTCGATCGTGCGATATTGTCCTGAGAAAGGAACCACAAAACTTCAAAGCCCTATTTCGAAAAGGCAGAGTAAGTTTGTAACTCTGACAGAGTATTTCCATGTTTCATTGTGTGTACTTTTATAACCGCTTCAATGTGTCTCCGTATTACAGTTCCAAAGGATCCTCTCGCATACTGTATCTCGTCCCGATATCGGAGATAACCTCGACTGGGAGCTTGTGGGAACTTCTTTATTATATTATATTAATATTCATAGGGAAGAGGGAAGTTTCGGGAATGTGTATGCACTACGATTGGTTGACCGCATCGTTGTCAACGGTCTGGATTGACCCTAGGTTCTAAGCCGGATTATCTTTGTTCTGATTGGTTGTCCCAGGACAAAAGTGTTTTCACACAGAACGCCTAATCACTGTCGTACTTTGAATTCGTTCCTCAGATAGGTTAGGAACTAGACCACCTCTATCTTTTACACTTTCAAAGTACAAATCATTATCGTACTGTTAAAACAGTGAAGCGATGATCAGTGACCGCTTTCAAAGTAGAAAGGGATCATAATGGTGAAATTAATTTCTGTGGATTACTGTTTACTGATAATTAGCCCCTTAACACAGTGCCATCGACCAAGTTGAAGGCCACCTTTAGATCACAGGGTCGAGTGTATACTGCAGCAGTTCGGCCAGTTCTGCTATACGGTGCGGAGACTTGGCCATTACGGGAACAGGATAAAAATAGATTGTCGGTGTTCGAACACCGCTGTCTACGTAGCATTGCACGTGTCTGGTGGGGTAACCGGACTAGCAATGTTGAGGTTAGGCGTAGAGTTTTAGGCAGTCGCGGTTGTCCACTGGAACAAGTGATCGACCTCCGTAGGTTACGGTGGTTGGGACATGTGTTACGCATGTCACCAGATAGGTTGCCACGGCGAACGATGTTTGCCAAGGCTGGTAGCGATTGGAAAAAACAAAGGGCGGTCAAGCTAAGACCTGGCATGAGGGTATGAAAACCCTGACCAGGAGACTGGCTCACATAAGTCCCTTTAGGCACCCTGGCTGGGGACCTCGAGATCGTGGTCACTGATGATTAGAGACACTAAGTGATATGGTTGGGTGTCGCAAACAGTGCCGTTCATGCATTTACTCATTATTCTCGTAACTTCAATCTATGTATTATATGGGTTATCTTCCGCTTGAATCTGCTTTCAACATTCTAATCATCATTCTGCTGTTTTATCCAGGTGGGCAACGAAAACCGGTGCACGAAAGTGCATGGTTAATGGTTGTAAGAACTGAACTGAACACGAAAAATGCAAATTGTTGGGTGTACTGAAGAAATACAGTCCAAAACTCAGAGAGGAGTGAGATGGCTGAAGCCGATGACCGTTTCGCGCCGTCCACTTCGAGCCGGGTCACTTTCCCAGTTGTTTTATCAATTTCAGTAACAAAGCTGAAAATTGATGTTCAACAGCCGAAGGGGTTAATCCGTGCTAGTCATAGGTTCTATAACTTTTGAGGTAACAGTTCCCGCGTTACCTCGCTTTCCAACCACAGCAGCTTCTAACCTCATTCCAACTGGAAAGCTGATAGAGGTACGGAATAAACTTTGTTACCTGGGTATCTACATTTCACCCGGCGGACGCATAACGGATGAATTGTCTGCAACCATATGGAAGGCTTGGTTGTCATTTGCCAACTTCAGATATCTACGGCGCCGTCGTGACAGCCGGCTGTCTTTGATGGGTCAGGTGTAAGCTGCAGCTGTTAGGCCGGTTCTGCTGTATGGCGCAGGAACTTGGCCATTTCGGGAACAGTACAAGTGTAGGTTGTCAGAGTTCGAACGCTGCTGTCTAGGCACCATTTCACAAGTGTGGTGGTGAAACCGGGTGATCAATGAAATCAGACGCAAAGACTCGGGTAACCGCGGTTGCCCACTAGAGCAAGTGGTTGACCTCCATAGATTACACTGGTTAAGGCCTGTTGCGCATGCCACGAAATAGATTGTCACGGCGCGCGTTGTTTGGCAAGGCATGCAGTGCATGGAAAAAAGGTTAGTCAAATTAAGACTTGGCATGAGGGTATGAAAAACCTGACCGGCAGACTCGGTCATATGGGTTCCATGAGGCTTGCTGGATGGGGACTTCTGGATCATTGTCATCAATGGTTAGGGACATGGAGTGATTTGGCGTTCATGCATCTCCTCAGTTTATTTGCATTCTCAATCTGCATGAATTCCGATTTTTCATTCGGACACTGACTTGAAAACTCCCATTATTCCCGTTTACTCCTTCATCCAAATAGGCAATCATGAGACTGCGACCAAAATCGGAGCACCAAAATGCAGGGTTCGTGGGTAGAAAAGCCCAAACCGAACTCCGGTTCGTTTTCTTCTGACAGATGTTGTTTCTGGACACGAACAATCTGTGCTTCACGCAAAGTTAGAATAATCAATCCGCATTATTCGTCTACGTGTCTGGGTTTGCTTGTGGGCCACCTAGACACCTTTATGATTCATCCAGGGATCCCATTTGAGCATTGAATTTGGCAGGAACTATTAGGATATCTGCTGACAAAATATTGAAAATTGGTTCTCGTAGCTTAGGTGAACTGAGTTCCATTTCGCCATTTTGTCGAGCTTGGCAATTTGCTTGCAAACGTTTCATCACCAACCGAGGTGACACCTTCAGTGCTTCTGAAGTGGCAGTGTTCTGCTTGTTCCCGTTCGTTTACATATGTGTTCTTCACCGATTATTTTCGTCCCCTGTTCTCACTGTGTTCGACTCGGTTCGCCGTTGGACTAGTGCGAGTGGTTGAGGGTGGGAGGGGAGGAGGTTGTCCTTTCGTCCCGATTGCGGTTTTCGTCCGTTCTCAGGTCACGGCTAGGATATCTGTTGGATGAACACTAAATTAATTGAGAGAGGTCATCCTTCATTTCAGGCTTACTGTTATCATTCGTAGCGTACACGGACGCGACCCATTAGCATCAACGGTTCGATCTATTGCTTTGGAACTGTTCTTAACTAGTTAAACTCTGATTGCGTGGCTGTTAGTGAGAGAAAATGGAAGCATCTAGTATCTTTTTTGAGTGAAAGGAAGAGCGGGAGAGATTATGAAGACGGTTTTCGAAATAGCCTTGTTAGACTGAGTTCCTTTTTCACCTCCACTCATTGAACCTCATTATAATTGTATCTACGGCTCTGACAAGCCATCCTGTTTAGTTCGCAGTGTCAATGAATCATGCAATCCACCATGTCACGTCAGGGTGCAATCTCGTCATATTAGTCTTCACCCTGTGTTTGTTAATTGGTTCTATCTAGGTAGTCAGACGTACCGACAAAAACACTTGCTTTTAATTGATGTGCTTTAGCGATTCTCGTTTTCGTAACCTAATTCTGTTATCGCGATGCGATTTGTCGTTTCATCCGCTCCATTATCAGGCACTGATCGGTCTAGGTAATGCAGAAGAGGCCATACCGGTTCTGAAACNCTGAAACAAGTGCTCGAGCTCGTGCCTCACTCGGCTATGGCTATGAATGAACTACAGCTGGCTCGCACAATGCAACAGAACGAACGCGAGCGCTGGTCCCGCGTTGCCAGTCGAATGTCCTCTCGTCGGAATCAGTCCAACGAGAAACCTGCGTCCGCCCGATCCGTCAGTCTCTGTTCCATGATGGTAAGTCTTCCGTTGGTTTTGACCCCGCACACCTAGGCACTCGCAAAGTGATTGGAAATGTATAACCTTGTTTATGGTCACACGATGAAATTTTTATAGCACTTTTTATCCTAGCTGTACCAAGGATGCAATTATACGGATTAGATTTTCCAGACAGAGAGAATTATTTGGGTCGGAAATTTTATCATAAGTGCCTTACATACATAAATAGATGTTTTTCAAAAATTCCTTTCTTTGTTTATTGAATATATAACTGCGAAAAAGGAAGTGAGACCGGAAATACATGGAGTGCCAGGGGAAATACAGAAAATAGGAAAATGGGTGGCGGTGGCTGAGTTCGAACTCAGTTGACTACTTGAACGACCACATCACTCGACCGTCAAGATCACTTCATTGTGTTCAACTGCGTGATTTCTTAAATACGTCTTTAGGGAATAGGAAAAAATATTAAATAGTTGACAATGTCTATTGCAAATGAGTGCCTAGAAATTATTAACGCTTTTTGTTATGCGAGGGCCCACGCCAACGAAGCAGTTTTCTATGGTTGTCACTAATAGGTTGCACCTTGATATGGTATGATGGGTTGTGTACATCTATGACCCAATGAGCTACAGCAAGGCTTCTATCAAGCCGAAAAATTTTATAATGCTTGAAAGGCCAGAGGATGAAATTTAGACGAAGTTCAGTCTCCTACTTGTCCAGGTTAAAGATCAACTCAGGTGTATCGGTAATAGGGTCGAGGAGTAATCGATCTTAGTAAACCGGCCTCCGCCTGGCTTTACCTACTGTCTTCCTGTCAGGTTCTTCTCATAATTAGAGGCTTTGAACGAGCACCCTAATAGTTCTCCTGTATATTGGCTACACACCCAGATAGTACCCGTTCGTCAAACTCCGATGTATACAGAAACCAAACAATTCTATACTGTGCCGGTCATCGCACAGGTACTCAGCACCGCGCTGCCCATTGCATCGAACTGGATGGGTAATAAAAAGTGGGCTACTGCTCGGACATCCCTACTTTTGTTTCCTTCTTCTTAGTTCTCCTACATAACCTCTCCCTTTGCCCCTTCCGATTTCTAACTGACCCTCAAACAACTTGATTGTCGATCACCAAAGATAGTTGCCAAATAGGAGTGTAAATAGTTGACCAGGAATAGGATTGCGACTCGAAATCTGTTGCCTTCAACGTAAGGACTCTAATGCAGGTAGGTCAACGAGCTTGTCTGGCGCATACAACGGAAACATCATCAACGGAAGTTTGTTGCACATGGCAGGCTCGCTTCGGCGATCCTAACACTATAAGCTGCTTATGTACCTCGGATCTGTCCTCAAGGTACGTCCTCCACAACAGGAGACAACAAACCCCGATCAGTAGATCATCGCGAGTAGGTGTTGTACCCAGCAATAGGGCCCGAAGCCCATGTTATTGATTGGATACCCGTCAACGGTCGTTTAGATGCGACCGACTTCAGCGGTCAATTAAACCCCGGAATAGAAGCAACAAGAGTTGCTTGTTCATAATCTCGAGATATGCACCGACCATCTGCGGGTGTGACGAACAAAAAGACAAGTTCTACGTCAGTCATTCGGTTGAGCCGAAAGTATCATGTAATTGTGCTGGCGGGTAACTTTAGCGCGCATGTTGGAAAACGGAGCGCATTGGAAGTTTGCCTAGGTGTTAGTTGTGCTCTGCCCCGTCAGCCAACACATATAGATGACCGACTTCTTTAGTTCTGCGCAGTCCACTATCTGTACTTGACGAGTATCAATTACTGGCACAGCTCTCGACGAGCGATGACAAGGTGCATCAGCTCAACACATATGCCAACTCAGAACGATCACATAGCAGTAATTTACCGTTGCCCTTGCTCAGTGAAAAATTGTGAGTGCTGCTGGACCACATACATATTAGTCTTCACACGATTAACCCTCCGACCTACTATTAGCCGACAGAAACAACAAAATCAATTTCTATCATGTAAAATCGTTTGGCTCACAATCGTCTGTCCGTCCTAGCCGTTCGTTCCTCTATGAATCAGAACTAGAGGTTGCCGGCTACAGCATGATAATGAAG